TGTACGGTCCCGCAGGGGACGGGAAATGCTCCCAGATCAAGGGGTGTAGGGAATGAACCCAGCCGCCCTCCCTCCCTTCACCCCCCTCCCAGGTTCAGGGAAACCACAGTGTGCAGGGGGCCCTCTGGTGCCACACACCCTGGGGGGAGGCCCCCCTGATCCCTTTCTCCCTGCTCCTAGTGTCTTCCTTCAGATGCTCTTTCCCGAGAAGCTGGACGGAGACAAGAAGGGCCGCCCCAGCACCGCGGGCTCCAAGATCAAGGTGGGCCCGGGGACGAGGGGAAGGGAGGGCCAGGTCAGCCTCTGCCCTCTCAGGAGTGACCTCCATCCAGGAGGGTATTCCTCCAGTTCCGAGTTTGGGGGCGATAGATTAGCTGCTTTAATGTCTCCCACGGCCCCAAATCCAGAAGTGAACCGTCTGCTTTGTTGCCTGTGAAAACCCTTGCCCTTGACCAGCACAAGAGCTCCCACGGTTGCACGTGGCGAGGTGGCGTGCCACTGTTCTCGCGCTTCTTTGCAAATCACGCCATCGCCTGTGAATGCGAACTTGGCACTCTGCAAAGCATCCCCAGTTTACCGGTCCCTGCTACCCCTTGTCACCACATATAGGCCTTCTCCCTGCTACGGAGTCACTGCTGACTCATGGCGACCCTGTAGGACAGGGTAGAACTGCCCCTGTGGGTTTCCGAGACGGTAACTCTTCACAGGAGTAGAAAGCCCGGTCTCCTGTGGTGCAGCGGATGGCTTCGAACTGCCGACCTTGCAGTGAGCAGCCGAACCCGTAATGACTAGGCTACTTTTAGTTTCTATGTACCTGCTTATTTCCTATAAATATGATCAGGCAGCATCTATCCTACTGCAAGTGACTGATGTCGCTCAGTGCCTTGTTTGCTTGCTTTAAAAACGTCTGACTGTGAATTAGGTGAGAGGTGACAGCCACTCATCAGTGGTACCATCGGCCACCCACACAACGTTTGGTTTCAGCTCATCGGTTCCCATCCCTCCATGTTCCGTCATTCATCTCCTCCTGTCTGTCCCGTGTCCCTTCTTCCTCCTTTCCAAACCCTTCCGGACATCTGACGTTGGGGAAATGCTACCCTTTTGATCTCAAATGGTTGATTCTTCCAACACAGGGACGAGCTCAGCGCTGAACGAAGGGTCGTGGTCTTGAGGATCCCTGTCTGTCTCTGTGGG